CAATTTCTGTGAAAGGCGCTTTATAAATAAAATTTTACTTACTTACTTACTTAAATGTAACAAATATAATGTTGCTAGACATTTTTTAATGGAATTTGATGTGATAGAATGTATTAGCACAAAAAGTAAGGAAATTTGTGTTTGGTCGATTAATTTCATTGTGCTCTGTACAATGACAATAAAAGGCCTCTCTAATCTAATTTCTTTGTTGTAACAATGCTTCTTGGCAATAAATCTTATATCATTGGAAAGTCTTTCAATTTCCCTTTTAAATGGTGCCACATGTGTAAGAAACATGCATTTGTGGGATAAGCATTAGAGCTGAGTATGTGGGTTGGACACATACACTATTGCTATTGACACATGTTTTGAGCTCCTTGTTCCCCCAGGTGCTCGTTATAAGATTTATTGCCATAATCGTTACAACAAAGAAAAATATCTACCAAACACAAATTTCCTTACTTTTTGAGCTTTATGTATTCTATATGGAACGTATGGACTTAATAAACTCTCCTGACTCTGTGACTTTCTTCGTCCTGCTTTCAGTTTCTACGCAGTGCCTGAGGGAAGTGAAAATGACATCCGGTTTATCTACTGTGCAGCTTGTATCTGTTACATGCTGGATGACTGGTCAGGCATGGACATCCAGAAGGCCATTGAGTACATCCGAGGGAGTCTGGTAAATGAACTTCAAATAAAGCGTTAAACTTTGAGAAGTTTGATCTAACTTCAGCGAATTACCATAATTAATCCATCCCCAATGGGATTGCTCAGCCACCGTTTGTGCACCGTGCTGCATCACTCGAAGTGGCGACAAAAAAAACCAAAACAAAACAAAAAAACAGGCCACCCCACCTTTAAGCAGTGGCTTAGAAGTACTTTATTTGTAACAAATGGAGCGGAATGAGCAATGCATCCATAGCAGACGCATTTCACCCAACAGATAGGATGGGAAAAACAAAAACCCTATATTCTCTGTGCTCTGTGTTTACTTTTCTGGGCGTTTCGATGCATCAAAGCGTTGCTTGTGAGGTATTGTCTTTTCTCTTTCTTGTAGAGAGCAGCTCCCATGAGCAACTTCAGCTTATATTGAGTCTGACTTTTCACACAGGAGGGTTTTATTACACAGAGTCTTTATTGTTTCATGGGCGGGTATGTAACATAACCATACTCCTTTTTACATACATACGAATACACTGAAAATAAAAATAAAAATGGGTAAAGATTAATTTATATTTCAAAAGCAAATTCATTTTTGACAATTTAATTTGGTAGTATGGGATGAGAAGTTTATTAGTTTCACTTACGTTAAACCTTTTGTTTTCGTCTTGTCAGCTGAAATTGAAAGAAAAAATGTCTGTATGTAGACAATTCAGCAATATTTCATCAGGTTTGTGGTAACCTGTGTTTTCCTAAAGCAAGTCCAAAACTCTTATCTAGGTTTGAAATCCTAAAATAAAATATATTTAGTTGCTGTGTGCCGTAGAAATCAAGTTTGTAGTAATATAACACGTGCATGGGAGTACAAGAGTCCAATTTTGAACTGATTAAAGGTGAGTCCTCTAAGAAAACCTAACAAGTAGATATTATGAAATGTTGATTGCAAAATGAACCACCTCAGCCCTCCTTTAGAAGCTCCTTTAAGCTAAAGCTGATTGCTACAGGAGTGAATATAAATTTGAGGAAGTGTTTGTGTCATAAACTATTCACGTTAAGAAACTTTGTCACTGATGACTTTTTTCCTTTCAGTTATTTAAAATAATGGCTCGTTGATTTATTTAAAATGTTGCTTGAATTTTTAATTACAAACATGGTAAAAGTCTGGTTCATCCACTTCAAGATCTTTTGTGTTTTTGTGCACCAGTGTTTATTAACACTGGTGCACACACCTATCTATCTATCTATCTATCTATCTATCTATCTATCTATCTATCTATCTATCTATCTATCTATCTATCTATC